AGATGCGGGTGGGTTTGGGGGGGCACCCGTGGGTGGGATGGGTGGAAAGACCAGGCACATCTGGAGCCCCCCCAAGAGCCGTCTGGAGCCCCAGACGCATGCCAAAACCCAGCCGGGGCAGGGCACCCACCCCGCGGGGACAAAGCGGGGATCCTGCTGCCCTCTGGCCACCTTCCGGTGGCCACACCGCAGTTTGAGGCAGAATAATAGTAATAATAATGATAATAGTAATAATAATGATAAATAAGAAGCCCTGCCAGGGTCTCCCTTTTGCACAGGGCCATGGTGGAGAACAGGGGTTGGGCCAGACTGGTGCTGGGGGGAGCAAATGGGCACCCCAGGGTGCAGCGGGGGGCACACGGCTCTGAGCTGAGGGACCCATTTGCACCCTGATGTCCTCGTTACCTGGCGAGTGGATCCCGCTGAGGTCCCCTGGCGCAGCCGCCGTGGGGAAGGAGGCCAGCGCGGAGCCGGGGGGCTGTAGGCTCTGCAGGGAGCACGCCTGCCTCGACTCCAGTTTGGGGTACCCTGAGCAGACAGCAAAACCCCCCCGCTTGCCACACGCCATCCCTTGGGGACAGGCAGTGCCGTGCCCGGGGGCAGCCGGGTGCCCCTGGGGTGGGACAGCTCACGGCTTGGCAGGACCCCCCAGGGAGGGGTTGGGGGCTCTTTTACCTTTTGTGATCCCGCAGTTCAGTTCTGCCGCCGGCTTCCTGCCCAGGGGAGAGCGAGAGGGGGGTGAGGGGTCCCAGCCACCCCGTGCCCACCACTGCCCACCTCCTCGCACCCACTGTGCCCCTCGGTACCCAGCGAGCGGCCGAACGGGGCCATGCCAGGCACCCCGGGGTGAAGAGGGGGCCAGGATGGGACCCACCTCTTCCTGCGGCAGAGGAAAGCCAGCAGCAGGAGGCTGGAGCAGAGGAGCAAGAAGCCGCCGATGAGCAGCATCACCAGCAGCGTGGAGCCTGGGGAGGGAGGGCAGCGTCAGCCCCTGGGGGACCCATCCCACCCCTCTGCACCCATGGGTGCTGGGAGCCCACCCGGGGCCACCAGAGAAGGAAAATCAATGTGTTGTCATGGGGGGATCTTAAAGCCCGAGTGGGTCTGTCGGTGCCTGGAGCACCCACAAGATGATGCGCGCCTCAGG